ACCACCATAAATCTTTTTCCATACTCAAGAACACAGAAAATATATTCTGTAGTAAATAACATATTTGTTGTCTATATCAGATAGGTACTGCAAAGGAAGAATGGTGCTTTTAAAAAGACATCCATTTTAATTTCGTCAAAGATGTTGGTTAAAAACAGAGGCAAAACTGACCATTGGTATAAATCCTTCTGTCTCGTTCTTGATTTGCTGTAATTTTTATTGTGTTAGAGGGCTATTCTACCCAGACATACTGTTATTTCAGAATACCTGGCCCTATTTACAAGAGTGGCACTCCTGATCCCCGAGGGCCAGTCTCATTGCTGTCATTTCTGCACTGGGTTGAACTTGTTTATTCATACCCAGCTATTAAACTGCCCTCCCGGATTTGCTCAGAGACCAGCAGCAGACAAGCATTTGGTATACGGTAGTCGCATACAGCGGCGGCACTCCCTGAAAAAGAGGACACTTGTACTTTTGATACCCCTTTAAATGACATTTTCAACCAAGGAGAAACAAGGCGTTGTGCGAGCCAAAGGCTGAGGAGCTGGGCAGCTGGAGGAGGCTGATGCCCCTGCACAGTCTCACGGAATTCTGAAGAGAGCAAGGAGGGCAACTGTCCCAGAGCGAGAAAACCTGTGTCTTGCTAACACTGAGTGTCCCACATCTCAGGGACCTTCCTAATTATGGGGCTATTCACTGCCCTGAAAGGAGGGGGTTTTGTTCAAATTAAGATAAAACAGGAAGCAAAAGCAAATTCCAGTATTTTTCTTGGCTTTGAGGCAAATGCAGTTCCTTTTTTTCCAGAGAACTCCCATTCCTAATTCAGTAGAGATTATTACATAGAGAGCTACACTTTACTAAGGAGGGTTAGCAATCTACTGGAACTGTTTCTCAGGCGATAGGAAGTTTAAGAAATATGCCTGCATTCTACAGGCATTCTGGTGAGCAAAAAAAATATAAAATAAAAAAATCCATAGAGAGTGACACCAGCATTGCCCTCATACTCCCGTAGGTTTGGGCTCTAGAGTGTCCACTTGACTCCTGCTGTTTGCACCATGCAGATTCATAAAATGTAGGTGAAACTGGTGAACACATATATAGAGAGAAAAAGAGTATGTAGAGGGTGTAATAACACAAGATGCACTTCCTTTGAAAACTAAACTAAGGGGATTTTCTTGAGAGAGGGGGAGGAAGTCTTTGCCGTGATTTAAAACCAGCTCTGTGCCATTTGCAGTTTTAAAGACATCTGGAGCTGGTCTTTGGTTACCCACAACATGCTCTCTGAATGACAGCAGAGTGAGCTGGATGGGCACAGTGAGTCCTGAAGCCAGTGGAGGAAAGCTAAAAGTCCTTATAAAAAACCCTCTGAAATCTGAAGTCAATTTAGTTATTGTCAAGAAGCAGATATAGATAATTTATTTGAAGGGGAAAGAAGAGTTTCCTCAAAATGCAATTCTTATACTGTACTGTTCAGTGCCTCCATTATTAACAGGCTCTATTACATTTATTTAACATCATTACTAATCAGAAAAAGAGTCAGTTCCCTTGAAAACACCTTTTCATCAGACCACAAATTAAAGTATCCTGCCCTAAGGAGAATTCATGAAGATTTTGTTTAAACAGTGGTGCATCCCCAGTACAAACTATTAAGCTTAAAAGTAAACTTTCCAGGGCCTTTGAATTACATACCTCCAAAACAAAACACATGAAAACAAAACAAAACAAACAAACAAAAAAACCCCCCACAAAACAACATTAAGTTTTCCAGGATTTGAATAACAAATTCTGTTAACAGAGGGAAGATGACACCAAAACAATTCAGAAGCCCTGGAAGTAGTATATTGTCATTTTCAACAGTGTCCTCTCTGTAAAATGGTATTTCTATCATATTCTTATGTATATTAAAGTGCTAAATATAATATCTGGTTTGAACATTAATAATTCTCCAGGCATCTGCTAGATTACACTCTTTAATGGATTAACTGTTCTCCAAACTGTATCTTTTTTTCCTTTCCGAGAAGCCATATAACTAAAACTGTCCACTGCAGATTTTTCTCACGGATGCCCTTCCCCCTTTGGTCCCTAACATTTATTACTGGAGCATAAACACAGGGGTTGGAGAGTATTAAGCCATGAAGACCCCACACAACACTCTGCTCCCACCCAGATGCAGTGGCAGTGAGGAGCCCTGGCCATACCCAAAGCCTTGGGCTTCCAGGATGGGCATCACCAGGGTTCACTGCTTGACTCCCCAGTTGGGAGGGCTTCCCTTCACCCATACTAGCACACAGCGACAATGAGGAATGAAAGATTACACTAAAAAAACCTGCAAAGATCTACCACAGGGGAAAGCACCATGTGCCTTTGGAGCAGATTGGGGCAACACCTCCACTGAAGGGATGTTTAAAACTAGATCAGACAATCATAAGAGAGCCAAGATACCACCAGTCCTTGCTTTCTGAGGTTTCTTCTTCTTGCCTACTACTAAATGTAGGCTCTCACATCTTCTCTGTGGCCTCAGAGGGGCTAAATATGGCCCCCTGGGAACCTCTAGGGTTTTCACTCAACCACCACTGACATAAAGGCACTGGATGTATTTTCAGCTTGTGGAAAACTACCGCTGTGTCCCCAGCATGCCAGACGGGTGCAAGGGGTTTTGGGAAGCAGCAAGTGTTACTTGATTTTCTTCAGCACTTCCAACTCCACCCACTGCTGCAGCACCCACATTATTTGGCAAGTGAGGGAACTCCTGTAGCTTGACCTGGCACAGTGAGAGGCGAATGAACATCAATCAACACCACAATAACACAAGTGACTCTTCGGAAGGAGTTGGAAAAGGTACAGGTTATTACAATGCAAAACACTGAACTGCTCTTAACCCTGTCTGAAACAAGAAAGTTTAGCTCACTTACTGAACTTTTATTTTGCCTCTTATTTTATTACCCTTCAAACATCCTTTGAGAGACATAAACTTGCCTAGGGACAGCACATTACTCAAATCTAAAAGGCTGGAGTCCCTAAGAACAACTACAAAATTTGCCCCCCCAACGAGTAAGTCTGGAGATATTTGCACCATCTGTGATTTCTGCTTTTTTCTACACCATCAGCACTGCTTTTTGTAACCCGCTTTTCAGCTTCCCAGAAGGAGTTGCAAGGCAGCCTGAGAAACCGGCCTGTTTTATCACGTCCAAAAGCTGTCCTGGCATCCACAGAAACTTGACATTTGACTTGTTAGCTCTCTTTTGCCGTAATGACTAATAGTCCGTTTTAGAAAGAAATTTGTAACACTTAATGAAACAACTTTATCAGAGTGGAAGTAAATTCAGGATAGACAGTAATCCTAAAAGACGGATTTCCATAAGTTGCAAGTTACAACAGTTGGATGTTTTTCGAGTCCATGAATACTTATCTATACAGGCATCTTAAAACCAGCGATCCAATCCAGTATGACAGGTCCTATGTCCATCTCAGTGCTCTCTGACAGTGACGACTGGGATGAGAAAGAAACACCCCTAACACTTTGATCTTGAAAGGGAATTTTGAGGTTTTTTAGGGATTTCTGTTTATTTTAACTTTTTTCTTAAAGAGACTGAACTCAGATATCTGGACATCAGCTTTTCTATAACTGTCTGTTTATAATACATTAGTTGCTAATATAGTGAAGGTAGCAGAGAATTTTAAAAAGCCCTTTATTCTGCTTGAGAAGAGTGGTGAGCTCTGAGGGATTTATTAATTGATATTTTTTTTTTTTTTAACAAGGAAACCCCCCCATACTCAGCAGGGGAAAGTTCCCCTTTACTTCCATAATGCAAACGAACTACAGCTCACCTAACATTTGGTTACTTAAATAAGCAATCTTGCAAACACCTCAAAACAGCTCAGAAAATCCCCCTTCCTGAGTGCTGAAAGACCTCATACACGATACATGGCAATACACATGGGAAGAAAATTTTAAACACATTATTTAAAAAGAAACAAAACTTATGCTAGGTCTTGGCACCTTAGGCCACTGTTAATTAAACTACTTGGAATTTCTCTAATTTAGTTTTCAGTGAATATAAATGTTATACTCTCAGTTTCTCCTTGCCAAATCTGGGGCAAGTACAAATACAGAAGGAACCAACAAGCTCAGTATTAAATTATCTAAATATTTCCTATTGATAGTTTCTCCAGAAAATGTTATCAGTGATGTCACACAGATTATATCAAGTATCCCAAGAAATAATATTAACTGAAACAGCAATTTTAGTAAACGGAAAACTTTTTCACTGTGCATGTGAAGAGGTGACGTCGTGAAAATTTTCTCTCTTAAGAGCAAAGGGTTGTTACACATCAAAAAGATCAGAAGATCCATTATGTCACAAAGTGGGGATTTATGGTTGTGATTTAAAAAAATGTATACATTAAAATAAAAATCACTATTGTCATAATCATTCACAACTGACAGGTAATGCAGCTGTCGATTTGGACTATGGTTGCCTCCAAACAGCATGTAATTTCTGTGCAGTGGCAATGAAATCTCTTAAAATACAAACAATATATGATGAACTTCTTTAGCCCCATGTCACCCTTGAGAATTGGGTTGTGTCCCCCCATTTTGATAAAGTTGTACCTTTATATATTGGTTTGGATATTAAAAAAAGTGACAGAATCTGTTAAATAGAGTAAATGAGATCTCTAGAGTTTTAAAAATAATACAGTTGTGCTGTAAATCACAACAGAGCCAGTGCAGAAGTCATCATTACTGTTCAAATAAATAATGAGCCCATGCTTCCAAAAATGAAATGCCATGGTTTCAGCTTCTGAGTTACTGTACGGAACTGCTGTACAAAGAAAACAAAAGGCAAATTAAATGGCCAAAGGTTTGGGAGCACTTCTTTTAAAATAAAAGAATATAATCAAGTGACTGAGGGCAGAGGGGGACATACTCACAAAGTTTTGTATTAGGAAAAGCAACGTGTTTCTAAAACAGCGGCCGTGAGCAGCCTTTCCTCGCGTACCTGTTTCGTCGGGCGAGCTCAGGGAGGCACTGTCCTGGGACAGCGTCGTCCAGCTGGAGTCCTCATCGCTTGGGGCCAGGTTTTGAATCCTGTGGAGGGCACAATCTGTTTTGGCCCCAGTTTTTGGGTGGTCTTTCTTAGTCTCAGGGCTTGACGACACGGTGGCAACTTGGCCATCCTCTGGGCTTGACAGCTTGTTTTGTTTCCGGGGCAGGACTTCCCCATTGACAATAACGGTAGAAGCCTGGCTGTTGCTTTGCGCAGATTTATCTTCCATTGCAACAAAACTCTGCTCTAGCTCTCTAGTAGATGTCTCGAGATCTGCATAGTAATTCAGGAAGCTCTTGGTCCTCCTTGGCTGTGAGGGTAATATTTCACAGCCAGAGGAATCCTGCGGGATTGGCTCTTTGCCTTCAAACTTCTCAGAAGTCACGTTTATGCCCGCAGTGGTACTGAGGTTTTTGTTGGGATCCTGCTGTACCTGCTCAGCGGCTTTCCTGAGCTGGTTTTCTCCATTCTTCACCAGCTTTATATTGGCAGAGCCGTTCCCCAGAAGGGGCTGCGCTGCTGGATCGGAAAGACCCATGGCTGTCTGAATGTTAGTCAGTGCGTATTTTTTCCTGCATTTTGGAGGAGTGCTGTTCTTGGTCTCTGTGTGCCTAATTTCCGCATTCAGAAGTTCGTTATGCGAAGAGCGCAGGTTAAGGGTGTTCGGTGGGGTGGCAGGGCTGTTGCGGTTCACAACGTCCGTTGTGCTGCCACTTGCCATAAACACTGCCAACGCGTCCACGCCGGAATCAACTAGAAAAGCAAAAGAAACAGTCATGAAATACATTCATCATATACGCTATTTTGCTAAGGCTTCTGGTAAAGGGATGTGATACCCTACTATGAAGCATCATTTCTTTATAGTAGGAAAATTACCACAACCTAAGTGGGTAGGAAAATAGACAAAAGTTTAGCTTATTAAATAAGGAAAAATAGAGGCGGAAAAATATAGCAAGATCATCAGGACCACGAGGCTGAGAAAAAGCAGAAAGCTTGACAAGGCAGTTTTAAGGCAGTTTTTTGATGTTTGATTCTGTTGCAGGAAGGCTTAGGGACAGGAGAGATGCCCTCTGCAAATGCCTGGGAGTCCAGAAGTCATCCTTACCATCATTTCATTTTAGTATTTCACGTCTACTTCCAATGAGGAGGAAGGGAAGAACTCCTTGAGCACTCATCACTAGGAAGCAGAAAATTCGAGAAATTTCTAAGCAGACCGCAGGCAGAGGCTGCTCGTTTTTCATCCAGGGTAGGACTCAAGCACTGTTAATTTTAAGCCTGACTGGCCAGTCAGCTGTTGTGTCTTAACACCTGTATTTTCTCTGCTCTTTGTCTGTCTTTTTTTGTTTGTTTGTTTGTGGGTTTGTTTTGTTTTGTTTTTTGGTTTTTTTTTTTTTTTTGAAGGGGGAAGTAATAGGTCAGAAGGCAGGGAATACAAAGAGCATTTCACAATACTGTATTTGATTTCAGGATAGGTGGGTGGGCGAAACCTCTTGACTAAATATCCTGCTCTAATTCAATCAACTTTAAAAAAGATCTGCTCCAGAGATGAAGATGTCTCACAGTTTCTATAGCTCACAAAGCTCAAACTTAAGGATAAAACATACATCCTAGGGCAGAGTACACATATTCCACAGTTAAATGAAGCCATTCTTTTGTCTACTTGTAGACAAGTTTCTGAATTTTATTAGCCAGGGGCACAACTCATATTTTGAAAAATATTAAGTTTGTTGAGGGAACAGATTTTTAGACTGTGAAAAACATGATCAAAAGTATATTTTGAAAAAACTATCATTTGTTCCTGTACTGCCTATTTATGGCTCCCACTAATCTGCACAAATACTCCACAAACACCTCCGTTTACATACTGTAGTAGTCACTGTTGTTTGACACCTGGCAACCAAATTAGAGACCAATTAATAAATCACTCCCATCTCTCACAGCATGAAACACCCTTTCTGTTGTTCCTAATTCTCAGATATCACTGACTGCCTATACTGCACATAAAAAAGTGTCTGCGGCTTATCAAGGAATGAAAAGCTATAATTTGAGCTAGTCGATGACAGATCATTCCAGCTGAGTTGTGCTGCATCCTTGTATGTTTGATATACGACAAAACTGACTGCTGTATGGGTTTACAAGAGATTAAATATATGGGTTTTAAAGGAACACATACATAAACACAGAGGGAAAATGAGCACTTCACTGTTACCTAACTGCACGCACATTTGCTAGTGTTCCCTCTTCTTTGACGTGCTGTCCAAGCGGCACACTTCCAACCACCACTCTGGTTCATTTCAAACCAAGCAGACCGGGCATACTCTGTTCCTTGAATTACCCACCTAGAACAACTTCTAAAACTTGTTCAAAACACAATCTAAACTTAATTTTACAAAATGTCGTATCTGCTATTTCCTCAAGCCCCAGTCATTCAGTCTAGACCAACTGCAAATTCTTCAGAAGGCAGATCACCCCATGCACACTGTGCAAAAATCATCAACTTAAGTAACAGTTAACAAACTTCCTATAGACAATTTCAGCTTTAGCCACAAAAGACCTCTAAATCAGAACCATCACATAATTTAAAGGAACTTTATAAATGTAATTCTCATATAAATACATCAATAAATGTTGCTTTCTGCATCTTGCCTAAAACCAACCAAGTCTAATGTAAACAAGGTCATCTGATCCTACATAATGTTACCAAAGCACATACTTTAATCTAAAACCACAAAATGGCCCATGTTTATGGACTGATCACTTTGTACTTTTTCTAAATCAGTTAAAAGTCAGACAATCTGGAAGTCACATAAAAAAATAAACTAATAGGGCAGGATAATTTTGACCCACTAGCTGACCTTTAGAACTTAGAGAATTGCACAGTATCTAAGGATTTCACTGGATTATATTTTACTTTATGCTTTAGCAAATTAAAACAAACATTTATTTTTCTCATCAATAAATACAATTGCCACAATCTGGAACAAAACTGAAATTTATTCTTGTTCTTTCTTACAAGTGAGCTGCTTCATGACATGTTTGCCACTATTTTTACCATTGAAAAAATTTCTTAAAGAATAATCTTTCTATATAAAGCTTAAGTATCTGCCTGCCAGATTACCTTTAGCCAGTCTCCTGACATTAGCATTTCACTGATTATAAGAATAAGCACACAGAAACATTGAAACAATATGTATAATGTTTTACTAATCTTGATACAGCTCCGCCATGGCACAGTGATCAGTAACAGCCAAAGCCTCCAGAAGTCTTTGCGACCCAAGGAGTGTTTGCAAGTCAGGTGCTAAGTTGGGTTGGTGTATAAGCAGAAAAATGTCAAAATGAACCTTTCACCAGACACCACCTCCGCTCCTGACCCCTTTCCAAACGATCCGTTGATCAAATTATCACGACTGAAATGATCAGTGAACATGCAGACAGTACCACAGGGCGTGCACAGAGAGGAGCAGGCTGCCCTCTCAAAGGACAGGCGCCTGCTCACTGGCTGTCACCCCGCTCTGCTCTCCCAGCCAGGCTCTGGGACACACACAGCCAGCATCCCTCCGCTCTCGGAAACAGGTGGGAAAAAAGGAAGCAGTTACAGAGGCAAAAAGAGAATAAGAAATACAGATGGGAAGAGGCAAGTCTTGCATCTCAAGGGCAGAAGTCATTACCAGACCAGAACTAATTAAAGCGATGGAAGATGTCTGAATGCAAGGAAGAAGAGCGACAGCCTGTCCCTCCTCCTTTATACAGGACATGGTGATGCTTGAAACACGCCACTTTTCCCAGAGGAAGCATATATCAGCTTTCTAATTAAAAACTTCAAGGAAATACAACTTCCTCCCGTGCCTGTAATTTCAAGACCAAAACTCCAATCGTCGACTTCCCCTATCTTTTATTCTGTCTCTCCCACTGACCCTGCCTTCTTCACCCCAGGGGTACCTAACGCAGGCTGGTGCTGCGCCCCTCACCAGCTAACCAAACACCCAGGGCCAGGGGTCCCACGCCCAGGGACCCCGCCGCAGGCAGGCCCCGTCCTCCCTGCTCAGGGCAGCTCCTCGTGCCGCCTGGCCGCTGGCACAGGGCACCCTTTTTTCAGCTCCCCTGCCTTCTGCTGGAAAGCAAATACAAATGGACAAGCAGACCTAGAATCACAGAGTTAGCTGGTATCTCAGCTAACGCCGGGGAAGAGTGGTACATTACAAGCAAGTTAAAATAGGGTATTATAGTAAAAAATATTGGGCTCTGGTGAAAAACTAAGAATAATTAGGACGTTATCATTACTGGGAATAATAACATATTATTAAAACATCAGTGCCTAAAGGCAGCATTTAAGTAGGTAGATCTGTTATAGTAGCCCATGAATGGTTTTAGCTTACTTACTTTTTAAAACAAATCACGGTCTCAGCTGCATACTTCCAATGTTTAGAAACATACCTACAGATATAGATTAATATATTTTCACCACTGTAACGTGTTTAACACAAATTAGCCCCAACTTTCTAAGCATCATAATAATACAAATAACGCTATTACTTGAATGGCTTTTATTGATGTTTTTCAATCTTGTCATAAACCTTATGGAGCTAGGAGAAAGAAAATGCCATTGCAAACAGAAAATATTGTATGACTCATATGTATTTACCTCTTTTGGCTGTGTACTGTCTAAAGGAATAGTTTTTAAAAAGCCGAATAGTTTATTAAAAAAGGCACTGTTAAAAGGAAAAGAAAGTGCTTGCTGTTTTTCATGTATAAGTACAAAAATGAAAGCGAAATATGGGCCTGGAAGAAGAAGAAGAAGGAAAAAAGGAAGAAAGTTTCACATATTTGCATAGCAGAATCTTTTAAAGGGCATCTGACCTGGAAGTACTTCTGACATGGCTCACAGGGCGTCAGCAATGCATCAGGAAATAGATTATAATTTGAAATCTGAAAAGAGGGATCATTTAAGAATTAAAACCAAACGAAAACACAAAATAAAAGTACCACATTTCAGAAGCTCCTGAGAGACGTTAAGCATTCTAAACAAACCCTGGTACATAACAGTGAGGATCTTTTGAGCTTTCAATGACATCTGACAGTTATTCAAGTATGGGAGATGCTAGCCCACAGCAATGAGAACAAGTAATTAAAAATAACTGACATTTTTCTTAATGTATGCTTTACTAGGAGCACAAGTTCAACAATGTTCTCCGGTTTTAATCAACATACTGCAGCAAAACTTCATGACAATAGAAAATCTGGGGTTTTCCCCAGTTACCCAACTACAGCTTACTCAGGAAAATACAACAGTGTTGGTAAAAATAAACACAGCTGTAAGGCATGTTCACATGAAAATCTGCAGAACGAGATCCATCGTATGAAACTAAGAAGCACAGTCTGATGGGTTGATCCCACAGGAGGGAATCATAAAAAGCAAGCTAGGCAGCAAGGTCCTGTATGGGAACCTTTTCTGGCCATCTTCTCACACGTAAGCCATTTTGCCTTAAAGTCTCTGGTTTGGATGTGAATGACACATACACTAGAAGACAAGGTATTTCTACGCACTTACGACTATTTCTGCCGTTGTGTCTAGGAAACGTAGGAAATAAATAATACAAACCTTTTCATAAAGCAGATTTCCTTTCTGCAAGGATATCTGTTGAGTACAAGATGTTTAATGACACGCTCGTGCCATGGGGTTACAGCCTCGGGTCCTGCACACTTTGGCTCTAGTTAAAGCCTATGCAGCTGGAGAGAACGCCTTCATGATTGCAGCTCAGCACTAGCTAACTCCCCCCTGCTTCAAAGGGCGAATTCCAATGTTAAAACATTAATTCTCAATTAAGTATGATAACACACTGTCTTCTCACATCTACATTCATTCTTAACTCTGACCAGCTAAATGGTAATAGTTAAAACAGATGTCAGCTGAAAGCATCCTAATGAAGTCCAGGTTTACATTAATGTAGCTGAAATCAGAATCGAGACTAGAAGCTTTCTTAGTGCCAAGTGTCACTGTGCTCCTTGCCTACGTATCTACAAAAATTCCAGGGAATGTTAAACACTTTCAGCAGGGAAAAGGAACGAATAAAGTCCTGTGGTAGATCAGAGCAACCGATGTTCCTACAGGCAGTGGTTTTCTTTTCGCCGCTCCCTCCAGCAGTGACATCTTTACTGGACTGAGCTTGGAAGCTGGAGAAAGCTCAGCAAAGCAAATTCCCATGGTGGGCAGAGCAGTTTTGGGAACACAAGAGCAGGAAAGGAGCAGGGCTGCAAGCAGCTTGCACGTGTGCTCTCAAACCCATCTGCAGGCTCCTCCACACAAACCTCAGAGTTGCTGAGGATGGGAAGGACCTCTCAAGACCATCTAGTCCAATGCCCCTGCCCAAGCAAGGAATCACCACTGCTCTCTCCACTCCACCCTGGCTCTATCCTCACATCAGAACAAAATCACCATTACAGCCTGCTTACTAAATGCAGCTTCTCTCTGTTCCAGCTGTTTCTGCTTCACCTAGTCCTCGTGAAATCACCATCCGGTAACCAGCTTTCTGTCCTGGCTCCGTCATCCCCAAGAGGCACCCTGCCAGTCCCTGCTGACACAATAATGACATTTTTCCTTTTAGTGCTAATCATGCTGCCAACTGCCTGGAACAGCCCAGCAGCAGTGCTGTCTTTGTTCTAATGATGCTCTTATTAATGTAAATCTATAATGCTGATCTGTCTTTAAATAATGTTACTAAGGAAAAAACAACTTCAGATCCTGCAATGAGTTCTAGCACTCAAGTGGAGCATGCCTTCCCATTTGACATTTTTTCCCTCCCCCTCCCCATACAGCCAGTCAAATTCCTCATCTGGCAAAAATTCAGAGGCAATATGCCTCTCAGAATCAGATTCTAACAGCTACAAAGGAAAAAGAAAAATAATAAAAGTAATAATGACAGAAAGAAACAACCTAAATCCATTGCTCCTTTACTTTTAATTTTATCAAAATAAATACATCTAAATAATCAGTGTATATTTGACTATCTGACTGAAACTCTATATTGCAGATGACCTGGGTCATCTTATGCTACTAGAATTTTCTTAAATCAAGTGATCATTTGGAGCAGATAAAGAGCAATTCTTTCATTTATATAAGGCAAAACCATGACATGCAATCACGACTAAGCCTGTCTTTAGTAAGGGAAAAAACAAGATTGCATACCAAGTCTTTTCCAAATTTAATTTTATCCCTTTAATTAGATTTCCCCCCCCGTGTAGAATGGAACAGTCTGGCAGGCAAAACCAGTGTTGTCACGGCAAGAAGATGGAGTGTGTTTTATCTTTTGGCTACTTGCAAGCACAGATAAGACAACCTTCTGTCATCGGATCTATACATGCACAGCAACATTTGCTAAGTAAACCTCAGTCATTTTTTCTAATCCTGTTGTGTAAATTAAACTCCTGAGCCTTAACATTCTTTTTTTTCATAAATCGATGTATAAATTACTCAATCTCTATAATAGAGATCACAGCTTAGACTTATTTGTTAATTACAAACAACTCGACTTTAAATGCATGTGCTAATACAGGACACAAGATTAAGCCTAATTCTCTCTTACACAGAGACACAAATTTATAAATTATAACTTAAATTTCTGCAACTGAGATGACCAATAAAGCAAGAAGGACTTGGTCTTCCATATCCTGCAACTTGAATCTCAAGTGCCATCCAAAAATTATTCTTACCAAGTCTGAAGGTAAACAATGTGTAATCAAACCTGATCAGAATTACCAAAACCAAAGCATGATGCCATATGAAAAAGCAAGCTAAGATAAGCTGTCTCAGGGAAAAAAATGACAGTAATCAAAATGCTTTGTAAGACAGGCAGCCTACCCATAATACTTAATGGAGCAATAGAAAGGAATCAGCGGCCATGGATTTGGCACATAAAATGACTTAGACTGATTCAGACTGTGCTCAGACCAGACTTTTCAGCCTCACATAAATTTAACTTAGATCATTCAACAGTTCCTAAATCAGGAAGTAGAAGCATTTGAAAGATGATAAGAGTCCTAACAGGGTTAATGAAACCCGCAGGGTCCAGCACTATCTTTGCAGCTGTTCATAATGGCGCTAGCCCAATACCAAGGAAACCTTTGATCAGGAGACACGGGCAGCAAAACCAGGAAAAAGATTAAGCATAGGTCACAGCATTATTAACAGATGGAGAAAAAATGCTGAGCCCCTGTCAGATGCAATGAATGAGTTAAGTTCCAGCACAGATGCTCTGCTGGACACACATGGACACACACACAAAAAATAATTAAATAGATGATTATCATTTACCACTTCCCACACATCTTGTTTGTGGCCCTGCTATTTGCAGCTTGCAAACACTTGACTGTTCCTGCAAAGCCTAGAAAAAACCACTGCATACTCCAGAGCACAATTCACTTCTCCAAGAACAACTGACTGCATGCAGATAAATGCAGACATTTCAGCTTCTCTTTTTAAATTAATATATTTTAACAATTAAATTTCTGATGGCCTGGTATCGTGATTTCACCTGCTACAACTTCATCTGCCCTCTGAATGACATATAATAAATTTATGGCTAGTTACACATTAAGCTCTTATCAAGGTTATCCAGAAATGTGTTTACACTCAAATTACCCAGGTAGAAATAGTTTTGAGACACCTGTTATCACTACCTCACAGATGAGATCTTAAAATGCATTTGAAGGACCACAGTACACTAAAATTGTTTTCTTGTTACTATAAGGTTGTACTTAGTGTCAAATTGGGCTCTAGAGATGAAAATCTGAAAACAAAATAAAGGGGAAATTATCTTTCAGAAGACTCTCTACAATTCTATATGAAAAGAAATAAAGAATAAAAATATATGTATATCAAAAGTCTCAATATAAAGAATTAAAACCTCTAATTTCTTTAACTGATAAGTGTTTGCAAATAATTTCAAGCTGCTAAAAGCAAGCTGTGACCTGTGAGCAAAAATAAAAAAGTCCAAGTCTTATTCACAGAACAGTGCATTAGGTTGATTGACAGGTTTTGAAAAATTAGACTATCAGGGCTCTCCAGGAGAGGAAATTAAGATTTTGCACATTGGCAAGACTGCTTCTGTTCCACAAATATTAATAACATGCTGTATCTCACCTAGGTAAGGTTATTACATGTGCACTTTCAACTACATCTGCTAAAACTGTCTTAAAGTTGGACTCACATGTCCTATCCACATATCCCTTGCTCCTAATAATGGAGCAGGATGTATTTCAGAGCACAGGATGCATCAAACAAGAAAAGGTCTCCACATTTCTAGTCTGTTTTTCCATGAAAAGCTGAACTCAAATAAGGCTCATTACACAAAGAGCTACATCTCAGCAAGGCTGAAAGTAGCCTGCAAAGCTACGTATTGCCCTCAATCAAATCTTAATGGGACAAATCAGAAATACTTCAAAACATACAAACAGTTTATAAATCAAGTGTTGCAGTACTGCTTAAGCTGACAGAATGCCGAGAGATGACTAAAATGGCCATACCCTACAGTAATTCTCCTAATGTAATTATGGTACTAGAATATAGGAATAACTTTAATCTTGGCCTGCTATAGCTAGTAGAGCTCCTTGAGAATGCTGTTGTACTATGCTGAGACACTTCTACCCATAAAACAAAACCACATGCTCATAAATAAAATCAAAGTATTTTATTTGCTTTATGGTCCCCATAAACTAAACAGGTCAATCCATAATAAAGTGAAAGGAGAACATAACAAAAAAGCAACAGCACTTACTGGCATTTATATTAATTACACTGAAGCGTGGCTAAGAGTGGGCTCAGTTTCAACAAGCAGCAAACTTGGCTGTAGAAGACATTGAACAAGTGGAAAAGAACAAGCTACTAGTATTACTGGCCTGAATGTCAACGTCGTGTGTTGAGATTTTGATGTGCTAGCCAAAATCTTCTACTCCTTTTTCTTATCTACAAACTCACAGATCTTCACAAGGCACTTTAACACCAAAGGAACTGGGGTTCTTGTGAAAGGGGACAAACACATGATGCAAATCTAGTACCACGGTGGTTCTCCATGAACATGCACAACCCCAACCAGAGTTACTGGGAAACCCTCAGCTTCAGGTCACTCTACCTCTGATTTCACCATGAAGAAATGGACCTGTCAGGGTCCTGGAATAGGAGTACTATTTAATTATGCTAAGAAATAAAACCAGAAGTGACAATACGCATTCAGATTAATACACAGTTCTTAAAGAAAGCTTTTTATCTGCAGGCTCCGAGTCAGCTCCTATCTGTGGAAACCAGTACGTGTTCTGGGGCTTCACCAGGATCACCCAAAGAGGCCTTGATGAAGTAGTTGTACAAGCCTCTGCATAGCTTCCTAGGAAAGGTAGAAACCTAAACAAGAGAGGCTTTAATGCAGTGAGCAATGTATGTGTCATTGGCTGCTTCTGTAATTTTCACTCCATGAATCATCTGTATTCCCAGCTTTTCCTCAGCTAAACGATGATTATTAGATGGAGCTTTTCAGCAACTTTATAGAAAACTGGCCCCCCTGAGCATGACCTGAGCAGTGTTAAAGCTCAAGTCTTATTTACTGCAAGATATCTTTCTCTGGGAAGAAAAGGACAGGAGATATAGGGCAGGATTTTGCAGATGTAGGATTTTACTGGGATGTTTCTACCAAGAGTTGCATGGTGGATACACTCCTCCTTGGGGGTCAGGGTGACTCTATGGGTGATTTTTCTGTTACTCTGGAAGCAGCTCCAAGCCAAGCCCACAGAGGCACTCCACGGTATGTTTTCACACCGACTCATCTTGGACTAACAATAGCAATGTAATTCCTGGAAATGACTGCAAGCCTGGAAGTTTGGGTTTTTTTTCAGGGGGTTGCTGTTATTTATAATGTTACCATTCTCACACTTGTTTCCTTATTTCACTGCAAGGAAGCTAAGACTTCACAGCAGTTTCACTAAGCAACAGCCCCCTTGCAAGACCAGCAGCAGGAGACTGTCCCAGTGCAAAGAAGACTGCAGCTGAGTACTTCTTGGGAAGCTGAAGAGACACAGAGTAGGAATTTGAGTGTTCCTGGAGGGAAATCAAACCCCAAGTTTATAAAATCAACCCTGTTCTCTCTGCTCTCAAGCATACTGAATTATTTATAAGAGCAGCTCTAGCATGGCAGATGATCAGGAAGAACCAAGACTCAAACCCTCCCCTCCACAGTCCAGGGGAACACCTTCCCATGAGGGATAATTTCCTTCCATCCTCATCCTTGATTAATGAGCATTTCATCAAAATGGTATTTCCCAAAAAAAGGTTTGCTTGTGGGGGGAAAATCACCCTCCATCATAAGTTTCTGTAATAAAATTACAGTCAGCTCTGATAATTATATTGACAGAATTATATCAATAAATCATTCCATGCAGACCCCTAGTCTGAGTCATTTTTAAATAAGAGAATGCTGATAGTTAAAACAGAAATAAAAGTCCACCTCTGCCTGCCATAAATAAAGAGGATGGCTTAATGGTGGGAGATAAGGTGCTGCCTTCTGTGGGCAGGGAGGGCTGGTCATGGAGCTCCAGGCACAAGCGGGTCCCTCCCTCCCCATGACTGCTGATGGGCCACCACAGGACTGCACGTCCCTGGCGTGTTCCAAAGGTCAAGTGCCAAAAACTACCACCCACAAATTCCAGCATTTCCTCACTTCCAACGACGTCTGAAAAGAGGGCTTTTTTTTTTTTTTCTTAAGCATTCTTGCAAAACTGTGCATTTCGTTATTATTATTGTTTAAACCTTTCCTGAGCATTTAATGCCAGCAGAATGACACTGGAACCAATTCCATTTTCTCCAAAATGCTTTGCTCAGATTTCAGTATTGTGCAAAACACTACAACTAGCTAAAATAAATGAATTGTTATGCTGGGGACAGGATATGCATGGACAACCCGATAAAGAGGTTTTTTTCCAGACATACAGAAGGGTTTTGTATGTCATTTATTGTCATTCAAATTTTTTAGTATGGAAGAAAATTTGAGGACACCTAAACAACACAAACAGTACCAGGTTTTCAGGAGAGCTGCTGCAGCTAATGCAGAAAAGTGGGTTTTATGAGCAAATGCTAGAAAAATATAAATGAAGCTGAGGAGAAATTCATGGAAGAAGTCTCCTCACCAAACCTATCTTCTCCATAGCTGAGGACTGTATCTCCTTACTCCGTATCTTTTGAAAAAAGAAAAAAAAAAAAAAAAAAGGCACAGAAAAGAAAAAATAAAAAAACAACAAAACAGCTCTCAATGAAGTGTTAAGTCGGGACAAGCAGTGCTAGACAGAGCCAGGGATACATCCAAGACTGCTTTGTTTACTGTCAATCAAGGGAGATTATGGCTCTTTAATTACACTTCTAAAAGTCTAAACTAGCACTGGTCTGCTAAATTCACAGCTTTCAATTTTACATTTTAAACACCCTGCTGTTTCTTATATCTTCAGCACCTGTATTTCAAACACTTTTCCTAGCCCTGGGCTTCAAATAAACTGTTTTCTATTTAAATTGTTATATGTTTCCTTGAATATAAACCCTTTTGCTGTTCTAAAACCACGCACTATTATATTCCTTAAATTTATGAAATCAGTCAACAAAACAGTCCATGTCATAAACGGATGAAATATTACCTCAACAAAGCAGGAATGCAACTGCCATACTCCACATAGACCTAATTCTTCCCTTCACAGACTTTATTTAGGTATATATGTACAGACAGAAGATAAAAGTCGGGGACTAAGGCTTGAGGCTGCAGCAACTCCTTAATAGTACAACATTAAGATTGCAATGATGTGAAATACAATAGCTGAGATGGGGCAATTACTCATTATCTATGCAAAGAAAACAAAAGCAAAATGGTGTGTTTTACCAGTGCTTTCAATGAGATCTAATCTGCTATCAGAGATTTAATTATGATCTACATTTCCCAAAGACTGCACGTTTTCAATGCCATTATTGTTGGATGTCCAAAGCACTTATTATGTTAGGCACCGGGAAGTTGCACAAATCATACCATAACAAAACCAAAAAATAAAGCAAGTTTCTTGGCTTAGAAACCCTGACAGGTTAAGGAAAGGGAAAACCCGGCTTAAAAAAAGCATAAAGCAATCATGAAGTAGATATTCTGATATCTCTATCTTCAAACAGAGGGAGCTCTGGCACCAATTGATTCTGGTGCAAGTTTTGGCTCTGGCAGATGATGGGAACCCCAGCATTTGCCCACGCAAACAATTCCACTTCTTCACCGTCTGCAACTGCTCAACTAGACAACAGGAAAAATATCCTGGGCTCTTCTAGTAAGAATTCAATGCCCATTACTTGTTCTCTCTAAGTAGGAATGGGAGAGACTTGATTACCCACCTCTACACTAAATCATTTTACAGTTCTGAGCTTCAAGCTTAGGCATGATACATGGATACCAGGCCCTGCCGTATGCTGAAATGACATGTTTGAAGGCTAGCGTCTAGATTTAATGTCAGGTGATTCAAACAGATCAGTCCAATTATTTAGTCCAGTACTTGACTGTCAGAGACCTGTCAAAACTGTAACAACCATTTATTTCCTCCATTCTAGTACAGATAATACCGAAACATTAATACCCAAGACAAACTCTTCGGAAAAGTAGTATCTAAGTTGGCTCTAATGAACCATTTTGACATACAACTTTATGACATCTATGACTAGTCTGCAGCAGAGAGTAAAGATGCTTTACTACTTCCTATGATTTAGCCTTGGGGTTAGGGAAAACCCCACAAAGTCCAGTTCTGAATACAGAACCTCACCATGCAGTTCCTCATGTCTGATGCTGAAGTCACCATAGGAAGTCCCTGTCCTGCCACAGCTGTAAGTTCTCACTGCAGTTTACTACTTGCATCAGCCAACCCAAGTATGTGTGGAGCTGGATGCTTAATGTGTTTGAGGCTTTTAAAGAAGTCTTTAAAGGAACAGAAGGAATGGTACAGAAATGAGAGCTTAAGCTGGCTTTGATGCCAAAAAAAGCCACATGGGATCATGTTCTTCTGCTACAGCAGAAAGAAGAGCGAATACATAAGTTAACCTACCACAACTTCACCTCAGCAGCCTGAGGGATCAACAGAGAGTGCATGAGGATCTGCAGCAGCCTTCTGGAGCTGGGGCATTACCCCACACAGCTCTCCAGGTAAGGTCACGTCAGCTCATTTCACACAGCCTGCACTGTGGAACCACTGCAGTGTGGTAGCTGCCATCTGTACTAGCACGAAACGTCCGCTTGCTCAATGGAAGGTGCAGGTGGTAAATTTTAGGAGTTGCCTTTGCACTTATACAGAAGACAACCTTCAGTAAAAGATAATGTAATAGAATCCAATAGGATACAACTCAGAGGAAAAAACAACATGAGGAATATTGAGCTCAAGAATATAAATAATCTGAACCGGAGACGTTAGTTGCAGTTGTAAGCAATTAAAGCTATTGTGCACACTGACAATTTAGGATAAACTCAAGTAGATTGTTAATCTGAAGGTATCTGTTCTAAAAACTTGGGATGGGAGTGAAGAACCCTGTAATAAATGAAGCTGAAGACCCTGAACACAAAACACAGCACACTGCAGTAGACTTGGTCAAGCTGCTTTTTAAAGTTCTGGAAAACACCTTTGCAGTTTAAACTTAAATCAATATACTTACCATTTGGGTACACACACAGGAGAGCTGGCATCGATTAGAACATGTCAGCATCCTTTATAAATGCTATTTCAAAATTTATAAACTTAGCAGCCTTCAAAAGTAATAAAGCGACAAATAAATTAGACCAATTGCATACATACATGAGCTGCTTGGCCGATAGTGAGCCCCCGGGTACCGCCTGCCCATAGTGCCAGTCAGCACATTACCGCACGCTGTCAGCTGCTTTCAAAGTACAGATCGAAATGCTTAACTGAGGGAGAAGAAAAAAAAAAAAAAAAGTGAAGATTTAGTACAACAGCTGTATCTTTTTCATTAAAATGCTAATGACCCCTACAAATTTCAGGATAACTACATCTATAAATTATTCATAGTCATGTTGTCAGAGGAGATGAACTGTTGTGCTACACATGCAGCACAAATTTATTATTAGTGGTCGGCCTCCATTAATAAGCTCACATAAATTTTAAGGCATAAAGAAGTCTCAGGTCATACAGTAGCTTCTTCTGGCCCACAATACAGACAGAACAACAAACACTGCAAGAATGAGTTCACTTTCGGCTTTAAAAACGCTTAGCCAGTAGGTGAGATTTAGTAACAATGTTGTCTTAATTTTGTAAAGCAAGCATTAAGCAACAAGTTTATGAACTGTTTGTGGTAGAAACAAAATTTCTCCAAGATATGTAACACTGACCACTTTGAATCTATCCCTAAAAAGCCAAGTGTTTTTTATTCCCTTTTATTTCATCTTCTCCCTTGCTAGAAGGACCAAAAAAGCAACAAATTTTGGGGATCATTCTTCCTAATTCATTAAGAATTTTTACTGTCTCAGGCTGCAAATACAAGCACAAGCGTGTTCTATCCAGGAAACAGAGAGAAATATCAGGACACAGATGAAATAGTGCTGCACCAAAACTGGGAGATTTCCACAAATCTTCAGATATGTCATTTCCCTGATTGAGCAAACAGCAGCTTACTCCTGAATTACATAAGTCTTTTATATTTACTGGCATCCATGCAATTCTCCAGTGAGCTGGTCTGGGAGCCAACACAGCTGAAAACTCCCCATAAAGATGTATTTTCAGCCGGATTATGCTCCTGAACTGGCTCATGGTGTTTGCACTAGTATCGGTAGCTAGTGAGAGCAAGTGGAAATGGGACCATGGCAGCCTGTGCTTAAAATGACTTAAAATGCAATTGCGTAACATTGCTACAGCCTCTGTGGATTACTTCTGAAATACAGACACCTAAAGGCTGCATATCTGACAGTGCAAAAACCAGGTAAAGATCTCCACTGTCTCCCAAATCAGTGCCGACTAAGTGTGTCCTGTTCAACCCTCCTCAACGGAAAAAGTTCAGTGAATTGGTGAGATGGTACACTCTTGCAACAAAAAGAATTCTGGCTGTTAAAATGAAAAGGGAGTGGTAAACAGTAAAACTAACATTCAGTCAAAAAACCCTGCATTTCTTTTGCAGGGTAATGTGGGACAACTCCCTGCCATGGACCAAACGGACCTCTTCAAACTTCTGTGATGTCCTACTAGTTGAGCACATTATAATGTTGTGCAAGGAAAAAAGTGGCAGGTGATTGCTTCTCCTTTCCTGATGTATAGGAATTTTAAAAATGTACATATTTGTTAGTAGAAAAAATTAAGTCTCCACTCATGCCAAAGTCATTATCATTTTTACTTCCCTCAAATAACTACGCACCAAGTTCATAATTCATAGCAGAATACAACAGAACAGTCCTTATTTGTGCAAGGATTTAAAAAAAATTTAGAGAGGGGGAAACAAAAATTGTAACCAGATGACAGTATTTTCAATTCTTTTCCCTAGTTTGTGAAAGAATTTGATTGGTATGTATGAAGCAGAAAGATTACTCATTTTTCATAAATGCATTCTTGTCTTTCTAGAAGGTGTACACTTTTCTAAAGCAGTAACATTCACTAAATTATATCAAATGTCTACATTTGAGACACGCTATTTTTTCCCTACCTAGCAGCACAGCATTAGAGGGGCGCCTTCTGTGCCATACCATAATAAAAAACCTAACATATAAATTAAAAATCCCAAACCTCACTATTACGCTCTCAAACAGTTGAATTAAACTAGAGTACAGTTCTCCTAAAGAAGTGTGCCCACTGTGGGAATAAGCCACTCTTTGGAGAAGCCAGGTGGGGACCCAAAGGTATGACCATTTTAAATATCACATTTTTAAACCCCAGAAATCTCAGTGGAAAAGACAACATAAAGATATATTCTCATTACAGCAAAGGTTTCATTAGTTACTGCATAAAATGGGAACTGCAAAGATTTACAACCTGGATTAAAGCCAACTATCAAAAGTTAATTTAGAAGCAAGTTCTGCACAGTAAGTGAACTTAAACTGCCCTGCAAAACAGCAGTGATCCTGGGTTGTACATACGAGCAGGGACATACTCAGATCAAGACAAACGAAGATGCTGCTTGGGTTTGTTTTTTTTCCAAGAACCATCTTTGAATTGTGACCAGAATAGCCAAGCGACCTGCCTTTTAAAACACACCCACTCACCCCGGTGAATCTCAGTGGGACTCCTGAGCTTCGACAAGCTCGGGGAACTCCCACAGAAATGTGACCGACCTTGTTGGTAACCCAAATGCCATAGCTAAAGCGTCTGAAAACTAGCACCTATCTTCCATATACATTCATGAGAATAGTAAATAAAATGGAAGGAGGTCTCATATATTCCTTTTGAAAGATCCAAGCACAATGTATGCACGGGTTTGGGTTTTATTTTGTTTTTAAAGGTATGCAACTTAGATATCCACAACTGCACATATATCTGAGTTAAACCTGAATGTACCTAATGCGTCAGACCAGGTCTTCTTAGTATTAGTTTTTAACCTGCTCACTCACATTTGTTTTGTAACAAATGTCTTCTGTATCAGCTTTCTGGGATTTTTTAATTATTATTATCCTACCACAAAATGGCTTTTAAAAAGTGTTATAGTGATTTTCACATCTTTATAGTTAAATTTAAAACTACATATACACAAATTCACATATAGCCTTATGGTTTCTCTTTAGTAAATGCTTTGATTTGGCTCTGCCTGAAGATTTATTTTTTGTCCTTTTTTGATGATCTTCCCCAGTTTGTTTCAGGTGACCAGCCCCATGCTGCAAGCAATTACAGACAACCATGGAAACAAAACCAGAGCACGGTCACTGCATACCTGCCACCCAGGGGAGCACCTGAAAGCACTATCCACTTCACCTCATGCCAAGTCTTTTCTAGGAGCCATGGTGACAGAGCTACCAGCTACTCACCATCACACGTAACGAGGACATAAATCATCTCCCATAGAAGCCTGCCATGACTTTCAGCAGAGGCTGTCATCTTCCTAAACCATCTTCTTTACAGAGCTTCTTTTGTTGCAGCTCTTTTACATTTCTTAGGTTTTATAACTGCTACATAAGAGTTTCATTTTACTTGTATTAATATTTTGACTCTATGGAAAAAAAAAAAACTTTTTTTTTTTTTTTTTTTTAATGAGAGAGTCGAACCAAGAGTTATGTTCATATGGCAGGCACACAGCATCAGGCTTATTTGAACTAATTCCATTATCTTTTGTTTTAAGGACAATCAACTCACAGTTCAACCTCCATACTTTTAATGGACATTAAACCTTTTTTTGGGGTTTCACTCAAATTCCTTTGTTCACACATGCTGCTGCTTATGAGGGTACTAAATGGCCAGCTGATTCAACTTTCCCTGGTTCTCTACAAGCAACATTTGCCATAAATGTGTATATTTCTATGTTCAAACACAAGTAGATTCATACTGTGTGCTATAATCTCATACAATAGATTGCCAGCAGACCTACCTTCACATGCCCAAGAAAAAGGATACGAAAAAAAAGAGATGACTGCAAATCACCTACAGAATTCACCCAAGTGTGACTGACTACATCATTCAGTGCTTGCAAGGAACAGCTACACACAGCAGGGAAAGAAAAAAGGTTATTGCACGATGTTTCCCAAGGGACAACTATTGAAGAAATTACATTCCAGTACTCTCTGGTTGATATTCTGACAAACAACACAATCCCACCTTTAAAGTCTTGCTTTGAATACCAGGAAATAGCCCTGCCAGGCAATGGGTAAAGAGGAATGCCTTGCATTGTTTAAAAACACACAGGGGCCACAGGTCCTACACAAAATAGGCTCACGACAGTGAGGAGTTCAGACACTGAAAGTGGCTAATTAAAAAAAAGTCAGCCTGTAAGGCTGGTGGATGGCTCATTTTGAGATCAGAAAGTGGTTTTGTACATACACATGAATTTTATATATGAATGTACATATTTGCAAATACGTATATGTACATATATAATGCAAATATGCTTTCCAATACTCAACTGTTTCTCACTTTGTCTGCAATCAAAGCAGCCACTTGGAGCATCACCTGTAGGACAACATTAGCAAAATACAATTTAAACAAGCAAGCAAAGTGCATAGCCAGGCCATTAGGAATTTGTGCTGCTGATTTCTGGAGGCACATACAGACACAGCACATTCATTTTCTGTGCTGGGAACAGCTATCAGATGCGGATCTCTCAAGCCAAACAACCTACTGGAGAAAGCATAATGTTGTCTACTTGCCAAATATCTCCTATCATTGCAAGTGTGACCTTTTTAGAGGTCATTAATAATTCATAATCATTATTCTTTAATAACTAACACCTTTTTTAAAAAAAGTATTGTCATTTCAGGGATTTTTTTTTTTTTTTTAAAGAGTCTTTTGTTACCCAAGAGACCTATTTGCCTTTCCAGTTTTGTCTGGGAGTGCTCACATCCCGGCGGTTATGCTTTCCCACCATGTGCCTTTGTTGGGCGGCAGGAAGCCACCCTGCTCACCGAAGGACTCGCTCCCCTTCATCCTCGCTCGCTGGTGCAGGATCAAAGCCTTCCAGGAGCCGGAAAGCCAACCACAACCCCACGGCCAAGGGGATGTCCTGCCTGCGCTCCAGCCCTGCCGCAATCACCGTGAGTTTGCCACACTTGGACCTGCCTGGCATGCTGTATAATCCAGGTAACAGGCATGCTCAGGGACCTGGAAAGTCCTGTCCTGCCCAAAAAGTCTGGCAGCTCCAACATTTCTCCTTCCAACAAATTCATACTACTCAAATTCTTATTCCTTGCAATCATTCTCACTTGCAAATTCTCTGTCCTGTATACTTTTTGGCTGCCTTTGTGCTTCTATCTTCCCCACTCAG